CCCCCCCCCCCACCAACACACACACACACACACACACACACACAAACATAGTCATTATTGATAACTGCCTTTCATTGTCATACACTGAAAGAAATGCGCGCTGAACTCTCGCCGCCATGCATTATCTATTAAGGCCGAGCGCAGAGTGAATATTCAATCAAAGCCATCACGTTGACGGATGGAAGCGCGCCGGCGACGACAACAACACGGGCTGACACCTCGTTTGCCAGCCTTGCGGCCTCACGCTCTGTTTGCCTTGTCAAAGTTGCTCGCCGCACGCGCCGCCAAGGTCACGCGCCGCCGCTCTGCCTCGCTTCGTCCCGCTCGCAACGCCGCGGCCCCTTAACAAGGCGCCTTCCTGATCATTATTCCCGGGAACAAGTTTTGGCCATTGAGGCGAGATAAAAAGCTGTCGAGCGGAGAGATGAAACTAAATATACATAAGAGTGTCACCGGGGGGGAACTGCAAGCAGCTGTGGCGCCACTGGGGAGGCCCTTTTGGACTCCCGTTCGTGGGGGTGGGGTGGGGGGGGGGGCCTCAACATCCGGCGAAAATGTATACATTTAAAAGTGCCGGGTTAAACGTAATGCAAATTGAGCGAAAGGATTTGACCCAGCACCGACTTGACTTGCAGCAGGGGAACCCGTGATCAGCTTAGCTAATTTAGCAGAGTTCAAATGTTTGTTGTTTTTTTTTGCACCATGGACCGACCGCCACGCCGTAAAAGGCTTTTATTTTGAAGTTTGCCCTTGGAGGCAATCGTCAAAGCTCACTCGACTTCGACTGGAGCAAAGTTAGGTGCATGAAGCTTAATACGGAAATACGCTTTGATATAGTTGAATCTGGTGCACACATAAATCTTTTCAATGCTTTTGCGTACCGGCGCGCCACTTATGCGCACCCCTGGTTATGACCAATATTTTCACAAATCGAGCCGATTAATTAGTCTGCCTCTGCTTGTAAGTACACCTTGGCTATCGTAGAAGGACGCATGGAAGAGCCTAGAAAAGAATCTGTGTTCTATATTGCACAGGAACTCCGATCACGGAATTCTCCCCAAAAAAGCGCCGATCAGAAGCGGGTAACCTCACCAGATGAGCAGAATGAACATCATAATTGAAGACCGAAATTGCCAAAATCTGCATGTGTGTGTAATCACCCGCAAAGCAAATATTTTGATAAAGTCTCATTAAAATCTTAACTGACAAATCCTCCTGAGCCGCGGCGGTGGCACCTCGATAATAAGACGCTGTTGACTTTGGGAGGGGGGGGGGGGGGACGCGTGGTGGCTTATTATTAATACGCGCCGGACGCAGACGTTGCCCAGATCACAACAGCGGGGGCTGCTGTTTGCGCAAAGATATGAGCTGCGCTCGATTTAATCAGACGAGTAAACAGTCAAAAGAAAAGTACAATCATTCGTATTGACAGCGTCGGCGGCCTTGAAGTTTCGGGGTTGTCGATTTTGTTGCTTCGCGTTCGGAGCCAAAATTTAAGGTATCATTTTTGTGAGATTTGGATGATTTGATGGATCATGTTGAGAGTTTTACACAATGTAAGAGAACATTGTGTGCGTTTCACGCAATTTTATCGATGATTTAATGAGTTTGATATGATGATTTGGTGAGTTTTAAAAGATGTGGATAACTTGAGTTTAAGATGTTCTGATTATTATTCTAAGTGAGTTTTCTGGGAAATTTTGAGAATCTTACATAATTGGATAGACAAATTTGTGAATTTATTACAATTTGATTGGTAAATTTGTAAGATTGAGGCAATTTGAATCATGAGTTAATGCGGTGTATATAATTTTTTTGTTTCGAGTTTTGGCCAATTTCATGGATAATTTTGTGCATTTTCGATGATTCGATTGAGGATTTTTTAAGTTTCAGAGAATTAGATTTTAGATTTTTTTTTTTTGTGAGTGCGAGATTGATATTTTATTGAGTTCCAGAAAAGTCGAGGGAACATTTTGTGAATTTTATTTGATTATTTTGAAAAAAAAATTCGTTTAAAAGAATTTGATTGACAGTTTTTGAGACTGTTTAAGAACTTTTGGTCAACATTTTTAAGAATTTTAGACAACTAAATGTAGAATTTGGGGAATTTCTGGAATTTTTGTTAGTTTTAGGTGGTTGGATTGACAATTCTGTGTGTTTTAGTAAATTGGATCAACATTTAAGCGTAGACAATTTGACGATTATTCTGTTTTCGTTAATTTCATTTTTAATTTCTGGCAATGTCATCGACAAGTTCATGAATTTTAGACGGTGTGAAGAGTAATTTTGCATATTTTGTTGCCTTAATTGATCATTTTATGCATCTGAGATAATTCGATCTATAATTTTATGATCTTTAGATGATTGGATTGATAACTTGGTGGGCTTCAGTTAACCGCTTGTAATCGTTGCGTCATTTCATCCACAATTGTTGTTTTCCTCGCGATGATAAACTGGCATCAAAGCACAATTTGAAAAAAGAAAGTTAAGTTTCACGAAGCAGTCGAGAGTCAAGCCGAAGCTTTTATCATTTGTGCATTTCGCATCCTTTCGCACTCACCCCCTCATGATCCCCCCCACCCCCTCCCCCGACTACCTGCTTTTGCCAGCACTCGCTCCCAAAACAGAGATGTCACCTGAACACATAAAAGCTTTTTAGCGGAGTGCTGCCAGAAATTTTTGGTGTTGGATTTCGTGACTCAGTCAGACCCTCGAGTGTTTCACCCCTCCTCCCCGCTCATTTTGGATTTTCTCCCTTTTTAAGATCACGTGACTCAAAACTGAGGGATGAGACTCAAAGAACATATTTCAAACATATTGAAAGGTCGAGCAGATCATGTGAAATATCTCCATTTTGCACAATGCCATCCCTCACGTCGGTCAATATGGACGTCTCCTCGAGAGCGAGTAATTATAAGCAATCCTCGGTGCCATTTGACAACAGCTCGAAACGCTGCAATTTAAAGTCACGCCGCCGCCGCGGCAACGTCGTCTTAGGAGAGCTGATAATGAGCCACGAGGAAATACGACGGACGCAAGAAAGCGATTGATTTTGATTCGACCTGGCTTGCCCGACTAAGTGACTAATGGGCCGATTTAACTGGCGGCGACTTTCAGGGATGTACAGTGCGCTTGCTTTTATTCGTCCCCGCCCCCTCCCACAAGAGAAAAAAAAAAAACGATCTTTTGGTTCAATTCTATTCCTCTTAACTCACTTGATGCACTTCTCGTTGTTAGGAGGTCACTAATAATCGCATCGAGCCAAAGACTGAAATACTCTAAACAACTTCTAAACACCAAACGTGTTAAAGTTTGACTTCAAATCTCATTTCAGCAAAGATGCATCTTGAGGAACTAACTACATTTATGTTGGAAAAACCTCAGCATAAGTTGGCAACAAGCGCCAAACAGTAATTTAAAAAAACTTTTTGGGGTACACCAAATTATTAGGAGTAAATATGAAAGGGTAAATGAATCAAGTTACATTTTGGGGGTGTTTACACTTCACTGATGAACAAAATAATTTCCGTAGCAGGCAGTTTATGACTTTCGGCACTTTTTAGTGTTCGTTCGTGCAAAACCGTTAGCCGTCACGGTTATTGCAGCTCCTGTTTGAACAATTACCGCCTCTTTGTTTTGCTAGCGCAGATGTTATTTCAGCACACTTGGCAATGCAACTGCGCTTTCTTGTCCAGAGTTTTTTTGTTATTGTTTTTTTTGTTAAGGTTCCGGGACATTAAGGTTATTTCCAAACAAGATCCAAGTGTCACATTGCCAACTTGAGCAGACGTGTAGACAATGCCGTATTCCCAATTCGGTTTCCTAATGAAGGCAACAGACGACAGCCTACGAAACTTCCACAGGGGGCTCGGGACTGAGCTGAGCTGCTTCCCTCCTTCACCTTGACACGGGTAAAGATGAAGGCATGCCCAAATGGATATGGAAGCTGGCTGAGATAGTGGAGGAGACAAAGGCAAGAGGCAAAGCGCAACGAGTGAAAATTACACGTCACCACGTTAGAGCCACACATGGTGATTTGGTCCCCAACTCAAAAATCTGCAGTGCTCATCGAGCCGACGGTGCCTGAGTGAAGGACATGAACTTTGCAGCAGAGTGCCGGCAAAGTGGATGCTCTCCCTCATGGAAGTGGGAGCAAGAGTTTTTATGAGAGTCTTGAGATCAAACTCTTCAAAGACTAGAGCCAAGAGGCAGAGAAGGCAAGCTTCGGCTTCTGGCCGAGGAGGCTTGACAAGGTTTGAGGTACAAATACAATCTGATGGTGAGCTTGATTTTCATCACAAATATTCCCCCCCTGCCCCGCAGACGAAAACAAAAATAGAAATCATTCGTTGACATCCTAAATAAATCGATTGACAATTTCCTCAACAAATAAAAGCCGAATTGAAAAACCGCAATGACGGATCCAATCAGAAGACGTAATCATACGCGAGTCGGAGAAAAAAAAAAATTCACAGAACGATGCTCAGTTGTTTGCTGTGTCCTTATCTCGGAATAGGATCTCCTACTGTATTTTATTATTTGTATTTGTATTCGTTTTGTTCCACGTACACGTTCAAATGTCACTCACTGCTGCAGCACTACGACCATAGACTGAATGAATTGTGACAGTCATTTTTTTTTGGGGGGGGGGGGTGACCTGCTCATCATCATTAATGGCTGTAGAGTTCCAAATTGTGATCTTGCAAAGTAGCTGTACTAATTTTACTTCCCTGAGAAAAGTAACATTAGCTTAAAAGGAACGTTAGCTTAAAAGTAACGTTAGCTTAAAAGTAATGTTAGCTTAAAATGAACGTTAGCCTAAAAGTAACGCTAGCTTAAAAGTAACGTTAGCTTAACCACGAATCGGTACCATCGTCACTGTCCCTCAAATATACAGACAGCCGAGTTAACTTGCTTGCATTTTCCAGCTGACACATTCAACACAGTCAGAAATCACCATGTCAATCTCGATATCTGTCTTCCTCTTGTTGTCATCGCAGGTTCGCGCCAGTGCCATCGCCCAAGACGCGGACCAGAACTACGACTATGCCTCTAACAGCGTCATCCTCCACCTGGACGCCGGAGACGAGGTCTACATCAAGCTGGACGGTGGCAAAGCGCACGGCGGCAACAACAACAAGTATAGCACCTTCTCGGGCTTTATCCTCTACGCGGACTGAGCGCACGTCACGGAGAAAAAAAGACAGTCCAGCTCGACGAAAGGAAAGAGTTGTGGGGTGGAGAGAATGTGTGTTCAAGGCCTTCTAGTCCAACCCCCCCATCTCCCCCCACCCTCTTCTTTCCATCATCATGAACATCCATCCGAGCGCTGCAACCAACGCCTGGACACACTGGCAAAAGGGCGAGAGGTGCCGGGGGGTAGGGGGGGTGTAGCTTCAGCGCCAATGTGTCGGAAGCTCCTCGCTAACGGGCGTCTGGTTCGATCGTTTTCCTCCATCCCTCTTTTCCCCCCCACATCGCACAATGCAGACTGTCACACCTCTTCTCTCCACAGCCGACTCGACTGAAATCCGTAGTGTTGTTGCGTGCAATTTAAACCTTAGATTGGTGTATTTTTATTTTTTTTATTTGACGCATAATAATCCACACCGATTGACAGAAAGTGAAAAAATAAATAAAGATAATATCCTTGTCCCTTGTGAAGAAAAACCCCAAGAGATGTTGTTTTGGAAGTGGCGGGTGACTCTATGTTCATACGATAACATTCGACACTGTACCTCTCAACTGTATGGAAAACTACTCTTATATATAGACCGCACCCCTTTTCGTACACACGCGAGGCGACGTCCTGCTGCTGCTGCTGCTATCGGGGTTCATCAAAGTGTCTTCTAGTACATCCTAGTTTTGCTTAGATCCTCTCTGCACAAACGAAGAAAAAGCAGATTCGTAGCTCAAGAGCAAACGCGAAGGAGAAGGCGCGTCTCGGCCGTCGCTGATTGTTCACCATTCATTAGCCGCACCAGTCGCAGACAGACACGCGTGTTAATATTTACTCAACACGGCAGGCCGACCGCTCGCCCCAGGACGATCGGACTGCACGTGTGTGACTGTGTGTGTGTGTGTGCGCGTGTGTGTGTGTGTGTGTGTGTGTGTGTGTGTGTGTGGTGTGCACGCACGCCCATCAGACGTGCGTGCATGCCAGCATGTGGTGCGTCATAGCTCCATGCTCCTCTCCGCGGTCGTCTTCTGTGCTACAGCCAATGATATTTTATTTAGCAAGCCCATGATGAGATTGTGCAACAGATATGATGAGGAGAAAAAAAAAAAAAAAGCTTGTAAATGAATTATATGATATGTTTGTCTATCTTATCTTTTGGAATTGTTGAATACATTGAAATAATAAATGGGATTTTTTTTTTGGAGCGGATGGTCTCTGGGGAAGTTCTTGTATACCAAATAGGCAAAATAATTATAATCGGTGGAAGAGGCGTTCTTAAACTTTTGGGGACTCCTACAGGGGAGACTTTTTTTCGGAATGTGAACACCAATTAAACACATAAATGTCATCGACAAAAAAAAAAAGTTTTATTTTGAAGAAAAAAAGGCAGAATATGACAAAAAACAATTCAGATTTCTTACGAGAAACAAAGTGTCGTCTTGTCAAGAACAGATGTCAGGATTAAAAGTGACCTTTAAAAAGACAACATTTCCTTGTAACATTATGCCTTTTCATTTTGGAAAAAAAATGGTACTGTAGTCTTGTTCTAAAAGAATAGAATTTCGTTTATAATTAGCATTTTGTTGTGCATAAAAAACTACATTATTCATGCAGGCGATCAGATTCATGTGATGTGTCACAACAGATACCTGAAACTAAAATTACGAACATTTCATGAAAATAAAATCAAAAAAATGGGTGCATTAAAAAAACATTTTACTATCATAAAATTGATTGAAATGCCGACTGTATAATTATACCAAAAATACCCTTCGTCTTTGTCAATTTTTTTTCCATACAGAAGCTTTCAGCTTAATTTTTAAAAGGTATTTACTGTCACACAGTCGTTCGGGTAATATAGTTCCGTTTACTTTATGACGACACTTTGTAACCCTTTTTCCATTTTGCACTCAACAAATACTCCATATATGTATAAAAGAAAAATCATACACCTCATACTAAAACTAACAGGAGCTAAACTAGAATTAAGCTTTTTGGGGGAAAAAAAGAAGCAAAAAAACGAATAAAAGGCAACAATCCTGCTCTGAAAACTACTTCAGATTAACTGAATTAAAAAACATCAGTCAAAAAAGTCACAATGAAAAAAAACCCGAGAACAAAACCCCGCCATATTGGGAATTTCTCCACTGTAAGACAAATAAACGTTTTCTTATCTTATCTGATCTTATGAGAGCTTTAATTGGCCCAACGCAAAGGAAGGAACAGGTTACAGGTTCATTATGTGTTGCGCCCCCCCCCCCCACGTATGTAGATATACAACTTTTAAAAATAACATGACATTATCATTTATCGCAATTTATTTCATTTTCTTTTTTTAACGGTTCCCCAAGCTCAGGTTCTAGGCCCCCGGGGATCTTTTTTGGGAGCGTAAAGAATGCCTCTCGAAATAAAGTGCTGTTTAAAATAACAACGGGTCTTGTTTGTGCGAGGGATCGCATCAGCGAGCGCTTCCCAAAATGTCAACACCTTAAACGCAGACACAGGGTGACGGGTATCGAGGGAAACGCGGCGCTTGTTGATTTTTTTCCCCCCAAGCTTGAAAGGTGTGCTCGCAGATAGATGCCCTCCAAGTTTAGCAGCTCTCGCTGGCGGGCCCTCAAGGAAACGCAGGGCTATTGCTCACTCGACAATCGCAGGTTCTCATCAAGACCGGCGCGATGCACGGGGGAGAGAGAGGTGAGATTGAGCCAGACAGAAGAAGACTGCAATCCAGTCTGACAAAGACAGATGGAGAGAGGAGACAAAGCCACAAAGGGGAGTAATGGAGACGGGATAGGTGGCATATAGTGATATAAGGAAGACGGACCGGTGCCCATTTGGGCTGGAGCGGGAGGTAAGGGGTGGGGGGGGCGGGATTGTTGCCATTCCCTCGCGGGGTGAGGCGGCGCGAGGCGTCAAGAGAGATTAGCTGGCGTGAAGCTGGAGCAGCTTGGATTGGACAAGCGTCAAGGACTGGACATTCTTCAGGACTGCCAGGAATGGGATGTGACACGGCTCGGCAATATTCGCCTCTTAAGGGAAGCGAGTCAGTCGACTGGCTGTATCATTTCATCCACTTCTCTGCACGTCTCGATCCCTTGTGCACTAATTGTGTAGACGGTGGCACACCAGAAACATCGCCTGCCCGCGGGGTGCACCAAAAATACCCACCGAAGTCACTTGAGGTGAGGCGGCGGCCGCATGCAAAGGCCAACATGGTAATAAGGCACTACCTTCAAAACACTTTGTGTCTTGAAAAAGCTTGGAAACAAAGGAAACACCGTCCGTTCGATAGTCATGCATACACATGAGTGACTGAGGTTAATTTTTGTGGCGCTTAAAGAAAATATGCCTCTGAGTAGAGTTTTGTTGTCTGCCTATTTGTGTTGCGGCACCGTTTATGTTCAATCTCTACATCCTAATAATACCACGTAGATGCTATTCATTGGCGAGTCTATGGTGTTTGCCATTGCGTTAGCATTAAGCCAACGAACAGAAAAATAAAGTTTTGTATCTTAAGGTGACACTGCATTCAAAAGGGAGTTACTATGGAAAATCCATTTTGTAATTGCTCCGAACAAATAGAAGATTCTTCAAGCGCTAAATTAACTAGGCTTGGCGAAAATGAGCCACTCCCAAGCAAAAACGCTTTTATGACAAAGCCAAACATGAAGACATCATTGGCATCATTGGGGTATTTGTTCACAGATAAGTCCGTGAAGACAACTGGTACATTTTTGCAGTGCATGAACTGGTTTGCAATACAGGAGTGATTCCCAGAGCTGGGCTTTAGCACAAAAAGGTAACAAAGACGATGAGTTCACGACGCACACAATAGCAGCCAAGCAGAAGGAAGCGGATGAGTCACAATGTGCCAATAATAAAGTGGAAGTCTGGGGTTTGTGGACAAATGAGGTAAATGCAATTAAGACTCCAACACTTGTTTTTTTTTTTTTTTTTTTCTTCCAACCAAGTGCGACACCTCCTGTGATCGCCGCGTGGCAAAATTAACTCGGTACAGCTGCTCTGCGGGGGAATAAAATAGATAATCAAGCCCAGGGGATGGATATCGTGTTGTCTTTAAATATACACATTTAAAGACTTTTAAATGGGAGCTTTTGACTTGTAAAGGATAGCATCCTCTTCACAAAGAATAATTATTTTTGCTTCTGCATCCTGTTCTTTTCGGGAAGTTAATGGGATTTTGTACAAAGTGTCTATAATTAGCTGAAACAAGACTTGGCAAATCTGTTCGCTAAAGTTCTTGAAAAAAAAACATTCACTCTTAATTTTAGCTGCTGTGGTATGAATACCATAAAGCTTGAAGTCAACCGCAATCTCTCCCTTTTGAATTTATCACAGCACAGCACAAGCGATCACTCAGACACTTGTTCCAATTTTTCGACTCGACATGTGTCTCCCTGACTTTACCAAAATGGCGCCAAATTTATAAACTGCGGACACAGAGTGTTTCTCACCTCCCACTTCCTGTCCTCTACCCTCGCACAAAACCAAACCAACCGCCGCCGCCACGTGATTCTCACATGATGCGGCGCCACATCTCTGGAGAAGAAAACTGTAAGGCGAGATAAAAACACTCCAAACAAACATTCGCTGTGCCTTTTCTCCTTCAGCAGACTGAGTGCATTAGTGACCTTTTTTCTTGTTTTTGTGTGTGTGTCCCCATGGAAAGAAGCTCCAAACTGGGCTAAAAGGTTGACACGTTTAACAAATATCAAACCCTTTGCGCACGCGAAAGTCGGCATTATCACCTACAAGGCTCGAAATCAGCGATTCTACGTAGCAGTTTCTGAGTCAAAATTCGCATGTAGCGCCTCATTAAAAACACACCGAAAAGCAAAAGTGAGAATCACGTATTTGCAAGTTTTTCTGCTCACAAAACCACAGAGACTGTCCCAAATGTCTTTGATCCACACATCTTAACATATTGTAATGCGCATGTCACCTACACATGGGTGCTACTTGGACCACACCAGATAGCTATCAATGAGTTTTGGCTAGCTACTAGCGCGGCTAAACACACGGCGGGGCTGCTCCTGCGTCAGTTAATATCACCTCCATGGTGATGAATAAGCTATACTTCTTACAAGTATCGTTCTCAGGCAGGGATGACGAGGAGTTATCAACAGAAAACGGAGATGCTAGGCTCACTTCGCTCTCAATAATTACATTACAATAGATCTTTTTTTTTTTAATCAATTTAGCTTTGCTAAAGGACCATTAAACCCAGAAATACAAAATTCGAACCGAAATTTATATTTGTGTCTGAAATTGCCCCATTGAAACTGTTTCCACAAGAAAATTGTTTGCTGCTATTCACAATGTGAATTTAATAGATTATAACATTCTGGTAATATGAAAAAAGAAACTCGGAAATTGTTCATTCGTTTTATTTGTCCTATTTTTTTGTTTAATAAAACTCTTGCTTCAGATCACTGTGATTAACCTGCGAAAAAAAAAAATCAAATAAAATTGCTCCTCACAATCAGAAAGTTGCTCCTCAAGTGTCCTCAATTCAACCCAATTCAATGCAATGATTCGCTAAACCGCTCCTCAAAGAAAAAGTTATTTTGAGCCTTGACCTACGTAGCCACTGCAGGCTAATATGCAAATGTCGTGCGGGAGGCGGTGGAAGGGCAACTGAATGTACAATAGTCCATGTCGATACTGTACCTGTCGGCTATAAGGCCAAACTTGGCCAGATGTCCTCTTTTATGGACGTTAATATGGAAATAAATTACTTGATAAACATGAACAAAAAAATGGCTAATGTTGCTGTGCTGAACATCAGAATTCCATTTATTCCCGATCTTTATTTCCGCTTGGCTTAAGGGTTGTTGAGTACATCTCCAACTTGCAAGCAATGGAGGTCATTTGCCGTCTTCATCTGCAAATTGACCTCCTCAGTGAGAGCCGTGGGAGGTATCGAGCTCGCGTTGTCTAACTGAATGCAGCCAAGCGTATGCAATAAGAATAGATAAAATCAGGATCAGGCAAGAAGGACCGGCAGTGCTAAACCCGCTCAGGACAGAAAAATCATTTGATGTGTTCATCAACAGGAGGGTGAATGAAATCTAAATACACATTTTCACACTAAAATGAGCAGCCTGCATGTGTCACATAAGAACGCTCCAAATTTATCTCGCTCGCTCCCGCTGCTCGACGATGGTGTGGCGCGTCATTACTGCCTTGCCTCACCTGCTCCGGGCAGGAGAGCGCCACCGCAGGAGGTGTGTGGAGGAGGCTCCAACAGGGGTGCAACTCTCTCCGAATTTTTTTCTGAGCTGCATTGAAAAATAAAAATCCCAATGCACAGAGCTGTGCAGATTTATTTAAACACACATACGACACACACATGCTCGCACGGCCCATATGCTGTCGTGTCAGACAGGAACATTCACGTGACCTCTGGCGATGTGCCAGTGCAAGAAGACAACTTCATTATTCTTTCCTCGTGCCATATGTTCCCATGGCCTGTCACACCATTTGCGCATGCACAAACACACACTTCAGATACTCCCATTAGGCTCTTTACACAGAGATTGACTACTGTCATCATTAAAACGTGTCTATCGTATCGTATGGCTTGTTGAAACATTGCACGCTTAATGAAGTAGGAGCATCATGGATCCCACCAGGAAATTTTTCCTCTGGATTAAAGGGGGAGTGTGAAGGTGGGATTTTTTTCCCCTCTTTCTTAAAAACAAAACAAAAAATAACAGCATGTCTGAAGAACAACAACAACCTATCTCAAGAGAGAAGGTAATCAGTAATTTGAAGATGAGCAAATTTGGTATTTCAGAAGCGGCTATCCAACTTGTAGCCTTTTGCATTCATCAAGTAGCTCTTCGTTTCAAAAAGGTTTGGGACCCTTGATATAAGTGTTCTATCTCGCAAGCACATTCAACTTTTTGACCGCCATCAACTGTGTTTTGTTAGTTAAAAAAAAACAAAAAACTATGACCAGCAGATGGGAGCACTGGGTGTCTTGGATGAGATCAGAGTGTATCAAAACAATGCTTGACGTGAACATGAACATGGCAGATTTCTGGAAATTCAACCGTTACAAGCCGCTTGTG